GGGGGGGGGGGAAATTACCGCCAGGAGGAGGGTCGCGTTTAGCACCGGAAGCTACCCACGGACCAATTAAAGCTAAAGCCGGGGTCGAAAGCAAAAGCCCAAGAAAGAAATGTGCTTGCTTGTTGCGTTTTGTTTTGTTTTTGTTTATTACAGGGTCCGTCAAAAATGTTACCGTCGTCAGGTTAAATAGAGAGTCGGTCATTCAGCAACCATATCAGCAGTAATGGATGACAAAGAGGAAAGGCACACAGGCACACAGACAGGCAGACGTGCAGGCAGTTACATATCATGCAAGGTGTATTATTAATACCGTAAACTCATATGAGGGACAGTTCCGCTTGCCTGATTTCCCAAACGCGGAGGCGGTGGAAAGGGGGTGGGGGAGGGGTCTGCGTTGTTCCGGTGGGTGCAATATCGTCGATTAGTTCTACCCCTCCCCCCTCCCGCACCTGACGGCCGGTGAAGCGCGTCGAGAGTCGCGCGCACGGGCGTGGGACACACTAGCACCCTCCTCTGCTGCTACCGACACCCCCCCCCCCCCCCCCCCCCCCCCCCCCCCCCCCCCCCCCTCCCTCTCTCTCTGTCTCTCTCTCTCTCTCTGTCTCTCTCTCTCTGTCTCCCTCTCTGCGAAGCACAGGCGGTCGCACCTTGATGGAAGTTTAAACTTTTATTGGGTATTACAGTTCTGTAACGCAGGTAGTGGGCTTTGTCCTATCTCTACAAATTAAAATAGATTTGTGTTATATGAGTTACACCAAAAGAACGTACAATACAAGATTCTGAGAGACAAAAAGACATTGAATGGTTAACACAGGGAAATTGCACCGGCCAAAGTCCGTTTGTCATAAAGCGGGGAAACATCCCTCTCTATATGTACCGTACTAATGTGCATTTCTAAGAAATTAGATCTCTCGTTCAAGTAAATTTATTGCATTGTGGTCATGTACTCGACTTGAATTATTCATGTAAATTACTTCAGTTGACAATAAGAGACTTTACAGAGGGGGTTTGCTATAGTTGCTCAGAGACCTGAACGCAGGGGTGGTATGGCTTTCACGGGCGGCCAGTTGGCACGCCTGACACTGGCCGGGCATACGGGCTGCGCGGCGCGCAGGGGTGCCAACTGACACCACCGCCCGGTGTTACAAAACGGTTGACACGAGGCATTAAAAGCGTCATACGCGGCGGCCAAACGTTCGAAAATATAATTGATGGAGAAAACGGGCCGGTAGGCGGTGCGGTCATATGGAACTGGTGACGGACGGTCAGCTGGACGCTAACAGATTGGAGGCGGCGGGCTCGGCGCTCACTCGCCGGAAGCGCACACCTTCACTCTGGCCGGCTCGACACGGCCCGGCGCCGCGGCTGTTAGCGCCGGCCGCTCCCCGCAACGTACGATGTGCGGAAGGTGATAGTGTGAGGATGATGTGAATCAGAGAGATGCGCGCCCAACGGGGAGGGGAAACGATACCGCGTCGTTATGGCGAAAAAAGGAAAACGTTTTGGAATTTTTTGTAGTAATGGGGGAGTATACTGCACCATCCCACCAGAGGCAACAGAAGCTCTTCATGCCACGAACGGGTATCAAAGTGGTGACAATACGACAATATTGTCTTTGTAAAAACACAAAACAATGCCTTAGGTAGATTACGTCGTATTGAAGTTAGAAATGAGTAAAATTGGCATAAATGTTGACCGTCCGAGTTGTGACCCGTTCCGACCGATCCAACGGGGTCCAGAGATGTAAATGGACCAAGTGATATGACGTTGAAAGTGGCGCTGCAAACATCCTATGACGTGCAGCACTCGTTAGAAAGCAAGCGGCTCCTCTTGCTCACGCGAGGGCTAGCTAGAAGAAAGCCCCCCCGTGAGAAGCCCTGATCAGATCCACTCTGCATACTGCACTGCACGTTAACGCCTGCACCCGGGGCCGCCGTGCCACGCTGCAACGCTCTCCGCCGCTCTCCGGCCGCTCTCCGCGCTCCAGAGGGCGGCTTCCTAGAGAGGCGGTGTTAGACAGCCCCGCCCTCCACGTGTGAAGACTAAACGAGCATTTTGTAGCGGTTCGGGCAGGTACGCGGGCGTCGACACGATGTCGATCAGGCCGTTTTCCTGTTCACCAGGTGGAACTCAATCGTCAAAAACACCGCCAATTATGACCCTCTCTTTTGGCGAGAAAATAATTACTTTGATCGTTTGTTCAATCCGGCTTCCTCCAGCTGCAGAATATTTTGAACATCAAAATGAGGTAGTTCCTGACGCATGTCAGTTTGAAATCATTTTGACGAACGTGTTTCACCTGTTGGTTGTCAAACACAGTATCCATTTTAAACTATAAAGAGTATTTTATTGGTAGAAAGAATATCAGGAAGAACGTGCCAGAACATAGCACAAGTAGTTTTCGATTAATTTTTCGGAAATTGTCTACATAAAAAATTGACTAGCAGTCTTGCCTTAGTAAAACATAGTAGTAGTAAAACACCAAGAAAGATGCCATCATCTTTATTGCAATACCGTTAGAGTACCTAAAACATGGAAAAACCGAGAAAAACCTGGGCGACAATATATGACAGTCTTATTTCTTTTGTTTATTTTTAACTTTTCAGTTACTTATTTTTGTGTAAGTTTTTTTAAAATTTTGAAAAACTTTTCCATTTTTTCAAAAACTTTGTCTCAAAATTATATACATTTTCTTAATTGAAGCCACTACGCATCGTCGATCTTCGAGTGCGGGCGAGTGGTAGTAGAAGTAGGGACGATGACGGCGTACTGTACCTTGCAGCCGCCGGCAGCGCTCCTCGCCCGAGGGGTTGTCTTCGGCAAGGTGCCAGTCGTACTCCATGGCCGGGTGGGCCCGACCGGCCCGCCGCGAGGGGGATCGCGGGGGGCGTGGGGATCAGCCGCGGGGGAGGATCCTCCCGGGCGGGGGATTCACCGGGGACGGCCGCGGCGGGTCCTCAACATGACCGGCCGCGACCCAGACCTTCGCCGTCGCGGCTCAATGCAGCGAGCCTTTATGTAACAGGCAGAGTGAGCAATGGTTGGATGCGGGCAGAGCACGGCGGAGCAAAGCGGAGCAAAGCGCCCGGCAGAGAGTCTCGCTTGTCATTCCCTACACCTCCACCCCTCTTCCCCCACGCCTCTTTCCTCTACCCTCTGTGGCAGCAAACATGACCTGACAATAGGGATCGGGCACATAAACCACGAGAATTTAGGTAAGGTCTAAATATTATGAGGTCCAGGATGACCATTGCCGTCCATTGGGCCACAATGATATTTGTATCCCGATGATACAAATATCAGAGGTCCCTGTCGAGTTTCGACTCTAATTTAGAGAAGGCGTCTAATGAGATCCAAAGGATCAGGATGGCCATTGGTATCCATACGTTCACAATGATACCACAAAGGTACAAATATCATATGACCCAATATCACTGTCCTGATGGGATTGCGAATTATTTTGGATCCTTCCACCTTAGAAAAAAAATCCCGTCGATATTGCTGGGCCCAGCTTCTCGCTGGGTCGGCTGTGGAGCGACAGCAGCTCAGCAGAGACCCCCTTTTGCGCGGTCGGCCGAGCGGCGTTTACGGTCGACAGTAAGGAAACGGCAGAGGGAAACAAAAGAGAAATTGGGAATGCCTGCCTGGCGGCCTGGCGGCCAGCTATGCACGGCGGAGCCTTTAATTCCACCCCGGTAATGCTCCGGGGCGGTATAGTGCGGCGGCAGGGGAGCAACGCTTTTTAAAGTCCTTCCTATTTCCGAAGAAAAAAAAGGAACGATGAATCCACCCCGCGCAGTAATACAAAGTGACACAAAAACGCGCAGCTCGGGAGGTTGTTTTGTTTTTTGTTTTTTCGTGGCATGCAAATTGTTAGCACAATGATTATTATTATTGTGAGGAAAGAATGAAAGCGCGCGATTTCGGGGTATTGCCTAGCGCTCGATAAGACATTCCTGACGTAACCGGAAGAAGTCATATGCGACTGATAAAAGCACAGTCGCGCTGCACAACCGACGTCACCAGGGCTATACCACGGTCGGCTGCGAGCCCACCCGAGGGACCCCGGACAGCTCCGTTTAGGGGGCGAAGTCGGGGTGCCGTTTCACCAACCCCCTGTCGAGAGGGTGCCGGACGGGGGGGG